CCACACCGCAATCCCTTCTCCTCCATTCTCCTCTTAGGATCTTGGGCACGCACGCACACGTGCCCGGCGTGAGTTTAAGCCACCAGGTCCGAGACTCGAACCGCGGTCGACTACGTAGGAGTTCAGCGACATAGCCATTACGCTAACTGCTGGTCCCTCTGTGGTGTTTCTTGATCACACTTACTTTTCTCAAGTTGAGGGAGAGGGTATCTACCTCCCATCTCTACCCCTGGGACTCCCAGCCAGTCAGGCTTCCGTACTCATGAGCCAGCTGTGGGCTGACGGGCGTCCTGGGCTGGTTCCCACCCTCGCAGGCTGAGGCCTTGACCCACTCGGCCTACACACACCACCACACAGACACACTTTGGGCTCACAAGGACGAGTCGGGCCTTAAGCTCACAATCGGCATGTTATGAAGCCGCCCTAAGACAGAGCCTCCCAGCCACCCGCACTGGACCTTCCTGATGAGATCTGATACAAGATGGGAAGAGAGGTCGAGGCCTTCTGCAGCGTTCACAGCCTCCCCTTCCATTGTACAATCTGCTGACTGCATGGAGGTGGGGGCAGAGACTCCCCCCGTGTGCTTATCTTGGGGTATCCTCAGCCCAGTGTCCTCCTCAGCTCAGGCCTCTGTGGGAGCCTGTGGAGGGCCAGGCGGGCTTATTGTGGACTGGGCAACTTCTGGGGACACCAGAGGCCCGGACCCAGAGATGTGAGGCCACTTACCTCTGAGCAATCACTCTAGCTGAGGGTCCCTAAGCCCCTGCCACATCTTAGACCCTGTGCTGGACAGTGGGGACCTCGGGGCCTTGGCCTCAGATATTTGGAATTGGTGGCAGAGGCAGAACGGTGAGCAACCTGGGAGGGGAGGGCAGCAAGCCACGGGGCCACCACAGGGCCACACCTCCCCTGAGAGGGGGTTGGAAATTAACCCAGAGGACAATGGGAGTTCCTGGGGGCAGAGACAGAATTCCTGGAGCCTCACAGGAGGGTAGCCCCGGTGAGGATGGCCGGAGCAGGTGTTCCCACAGCCATGAGCACCACAAGGGCGAGGAGCCTGTGCCCCTTGGTGCCCGGGTCAGAGCAGGTGCTCAGGAAATATTTGCCATATAAATCAACAATGGGGTTTGACTCTAAACAGACCATCTATGTAGCTGCGGGAGGCCTGGATTGTGGGACAGCAACAAGGGTGGGTGGGAGGCTGGTTAGAGGCTGAGAGGGTTGGGGAGGGCAGCGCCTGGCCCTTGCGGGGCTCAGAGGGGTGTAACAGAGGTGAGGTGAGGGGGGAGGGAGCCCAATACATCATGGCGGGGAGCTGAGGGTGGAAGGGCCTTTCCCCTGACGCCTGTGCTGGTGGCCTGCAGGCAAGTACGCGGCCCTGGACGCCGAAGCCATCAGACCGCTCCTGGAGCTGTTGCTGTACTCGAAAGTAAGCAAGGTGCGCCTCAACGCCACCAAGGCCCTCACCATGCTGGCCGAGGCCCCCGAGGGCCGCGCCTACCTGCAGCTCCACGTGCCCACCTTCCGCGTCCTTGAGACAGACAGCAGCGAGGCCATACGGCGGGCAGCCCTGACTGCCCTCAAAGTCATCGAGTGGAAGCCCTGAGCCCCCGTCGGGCCCACCCGATAAGCTGCCTCCACGCCGGAATAAATGGGGCCCTCCCTCTACCTGGGGTCTGAGTGACACTTCCTGTGCCTGGAGGCCGATTGCGTCTCCCCTCTCTATCGCCAGGGCAACACCAGGCCTAGAAGAACCAGGTCCCTGGTGGCACAGGCAGAACCCATGGCTGGGGACACGTATGAGGTGGCCTCAGGAGCTCTACTTTCTGCAGGGCCAAGAGTTCCCTCAGAAGGGCTAAGCCCTCCAGGGACAAGGATGAGGGACAGGGAGATGGGCTGGGGAGAGGACAGCACACAGCTGGCCCTGGGGTTCGGCTGGGCACAGCCCTGCTCAGCCAGGTCAGCCCCCAGCCCACACTGTGTGGCAGGCAGGAAGACCAAGGTGTGCCCCAGTGGGGGCTCTTCCTGGGGTGGGTGGGATGTCCTGAGAGGCTCTCCCAGGGACGCATGCTCAGGACAGACATAGGTTCTAGTTGCCTTCTTTTTTTGGAGAGGTTTTTGCTATAGGGCACGTGCGCTCGCCAGAAAGAGACAGAGAGACAGAAAATGAGAAATCATGCCCCAGGGGGCATGGCCATGCCACAATGCCTTCTCCTCCATTCTTCTCCAGGGATCTTGGGCACACACGCACACGCGCCCGGCGTGAGTTTAAGCCGCCGGGTCCGGGACTCGAACTGTGGTCAACTACCTGGGAGTCCAGCAACATAGTCATTACACCAACTGATGGTCCCTCTAGTTTCCTTCTTAAGAGCTTCCCCCAGACAGCTGATTCTTCTGCAAAGCAAATAAGTCTCCTGGGTGAGCTCCCAGCAGGCCTTCAGTGGACAGAGGCCTGCACCCTGTCCTCCTGTGGCCTGCCGAGGCTCCAGGGCAGCCGTGTGGCCAGCCTTCCCGCTGTGCCTCCTGCTCCCCCTCTCCCACTGCAGTGAAACTGGCTAAGGAGGCTGGAGAGCTTAGGACAGGAGAGAAGGGTGGGCTGAGAGGCTGGGCGTCAGAGAAGCCGTGCTGCAGGGAGGCCTGAGGCTGGGGGATGAGGCTGGGGGAGTGGCCAGGAGTGCACCTAGGTCTGCCCACACCGGCCCCTGCCTGGTCTGGGAAGACTGATCGTTCTCTAGTTTGGAGAGAAGCAGTCAGTTCCGGACCTCCGGGCCTCCGTGGGAGGATGCAGGCGTGAAAGCTCAGCTCTGGAGTTGCTGAGGACAGCTGGAGCCTTCATCTCTGCCCGGGAGTCTTTGAGGCTCCCCCACCCCCTTTCACATCCCTAGCCAGACAGGCCACATTTCCTGTGGGATGCCATTCTCCCAGAATAAACATTATCGGCAACACCAGAGTCCCAAAGGGAGCCTCTTCTCGAAGTCCTTTCAGGGCCCCCCAGGGGCCCTCTTTCCCAGAAGAAACTGAGAAGTTACAAAAGAGACAAACACAGAGAAGTCTGAGTCCCAGGAGTTAAAGGATTAGCACAGGTAGACCCTCTGTTCTGAAGGGGAATGGCTGCTGGGCCCAGCTGGGGTTTTGGGTTCAATCCCATTCTCAAAAACTTTTCTCCTTTAGGAAAACAGATGCCGGAGGGGCTTCATGTCCTTGAATCCCCATCCTGCCTCAGCCCATGGCAGGTCAGCTCTGCTCCTAATACAGGCTCTAGCCAAGGTCCAGGCCTCCCCGTTGCCAAGATCCTCTGCCCATGGTTTCCTTTGGAGAACTCTCTTTGTCTACGTGGTCGGAGGTGTTGGTGTTTCTCCTGGCTCTGTTCTGGGCCCTCCCTTCTCCTGCTTTCCCCACACAGTCCCACCTGCCTGGCGGCGGGCCCCCTCTACAAGGAGGGTCTCCTCCCTTCTTAGCTGGGCCCGCCCTCTGCCCTCTCCCAAATCTGGGTCTCTAGTTTCATTTTCTTTCCTGAGTTGTGGACTCTTATGTCCAACTTAACACCTACCCTTCCATATCTCTAAGGCAAGAATTAACACCAGTCCTTCACACACACAAAAAAAGGAGAGGAGGGAACATTTCCTAACTTACTCTGAGGAGGGCGGTATGACCCTGATGCTAAAACCAAGCAAGGACATCACAAGAAAACGATAGACCGATATTCCTTGTGAATGTAGAGACGACAACTCAACAAAATATTAACAGACCAAATTCAGCACATGTAAGAAGCCTCATACGCCATGACTAACTGGGATTCCTCCCAGGAATGCAAGGCTAGTTTAACACATGAAAATCAATCAACATACTACACCATATATTAGGTCGTCAGAAAAATCACAATGCATTTTTGCATAGAAAAACATGCCATGACTTTGCTGACCACCTAACAGATAATATAAAGGACACATCTCATATGATTATCATAGTAGATATATAAATAAAAAGCACCCCACAAAAATCTGTCCCCCATTAATGACTTAAAATTAAAAAATCTCAGCAAACTAGGAATGGAGGGGAGCTCCTTCAACATGATAAAGAATATCTGCGGGACCAGCAGATGGAGTACTGGTTATGCTGCTGGATTCCCATGTAGTCAATGGCAGTTCGAGTCCCAGACCCTGCAGCTTAAAATGCATGCCAGGAGCATGTGCGTGAATGCCCAAGATCCCTAGAGAATGGAGGAGAAGGGATTGTGGCATGGCCATCCTCCTTGAGGGTTGATTTCTCACTTTCTGTCTCTGTCTCTTTGACAAGTGCATGTGCCCTGTTGCAAAAATCTCTTAAACAAACCAAAAACCAACCAAACAAAAAGAAAATACCTATTTCTCTCTTTACTGCTAATAAAAAAATAAAATTGATTGTATTTCCACACATCAGCAATAAACCATCCAAAAAAATTAAGATAATTTCATTTACAATAGTATCAAAAACAATACTTAGGAATAATTAAAAAGAAATTATTTTAATATTTGGGTAAGTGTTTACTAGTGGAACTTTTCTTTTTTTTCTTTTAGAGAGGATTTTGCTATAGGGCGTGTGAGCTTGCCAGAAAGATAGAAAGTGAGAAATCACCCCCCCCGGGGGGTTGGCCATGCCACAATCCCTTCTTCTCCACTCTCCTCTCAGGATCTTGGGCACGCATGCACACGCACCTGGCGTGAGTTTAAGCCATCAGGTCTGGGACTCGAACCGCGGTCGACTACTTGGGAGTCCAGAGACATTATGGTAACTGTTGGTCCCGAACTTTTCTTGTTTAAGAATTATTTTATTTAACTTTATTTACTTATTTTAATTTGACCAGAGAGGGACAGAGTGAGAGCGAAAAAGAGAGAGAGAAAGCCGCCAGGTCTGGGACTCAAACCACGGTCAGCCATGTGGGAGTCTAGCGCCCTTAACCACCACACCACCTGCTGGGCCCAGCTTAGGAGTAAATTTAACAAAAGAAGTGCAGGGCTTATGCACTGAAAAAACATAATGAAAAGACATTAGAGAAGCCTGAATAAATGGGAAGATATCTGTACTCATGAACCAAGTCTTAATATTGTCAAGTTAGTTAGCGGGCTGGATGATGGCATAGTGGTAAAGGGACAAACTGTGAGGCAGGCCCACTGGAAGGTTACCAGTTCACATCAGAGGCCTCCCTGAAGCTGCCAGAAACACGTGTGCCAATGGTCCAGGCTAGCTGAGGCCAGAGATGGATCATAGCATAGAGACCCTTTTGGGGCTATTCTATCCTGGCTCATAAACCTTTTTAGATTTTTTTTTTTAAGAGGTTTTTGCCTTAGTGTGTGTGTGCGCCTTTTGGAGCGAGAGAGAGAGACAGAGACAGAGACAGAGACAGTGAGAGGGAGGATGACCACACCACAATCCTTTCTCCTCCCAGGACCTTGTGTATGTATGCACCCATGCCCGGCATGATTTTCAAAGCTACTGGGTCCGGTACTTGAACCATGGTCAGCCATGTGGAAGTCCGGTGATGTAACTGCTAAGCCATCTGCTAACCTTGATTTTAGATTTTTTTTTAAGTTTTTATTTTTAATTTAATTTTAGTTATTCATTCATTTATTTTAATTTGACCAGAGAGAGACACACAGAGAGAAAGAGACAAGAGAAAGTGAGAAAGTAAGCCACCAGGTCTGGGACTCGAACTGTGGTCGGCCATGTGTGTGTCCAGTGCCTTAATCTCCATGCCACCTGCTTGTCCAGATTTTTTTTTTCATAACTCACATGTGCTAGCTAGAAACAGAGAGAGAGGGAAAGTGAGAAATCACCCCCAGGGGTGGGGAGGATGGCAGTGCCACAATCTTCTCTTCCATTCTCCTCTTAAGATTTTGGGCATGCATGCACACGTACTTGGTGTGTTTTTCAGGCTACCAGGTCCGGGACTTGAACCATGGAGTTGATCATGTACGATCCAGTGTCTTAACCTCTTAACCACCGCCACCTGCTGGCCCCATAATTTTTTTTTTTTTTTTTTAAGATGGCAATGAACATTTTCATGCAGCCCAGACTCAGCATGTTAGAAACAGCTCAGTCTTCCCACACACCTGACCTTTTCCGGTGTGGCCTCTTACTGGAATTGGTGCCCTCCGGAAGCCCCCTTCTCTCTCTCTCCACCCTGCACGGGCCTGCAGTGCTCTAGCAGTCTCCCGTGGTGTTCCTGCCTTCCTCCCGCCTTCCTGGCAGCAGCCAGCAGGTCTGCTCCCATCACTTCCTGCCTTGGCTCCCAGGGACTGGGGACCCCAAGCCATCCAAGGTCAACGGGTCAGGTGTCTCCAGCTGCTCAGCTCCTTCCGCCATGCCCATGCCACGTCTCAGCATCCCCAGGCATGCCAAGGCACCCTCACTCACGTCTTCCTACCCGTCGTCCCTTCTGCTCATCAGCTCACCATCCTCCTTCCCTGACTCAAGGCCCTGTAAGGCTCCCTGCTGGGCACTCCTGTAGGGAACACATGATGCGGTGGACAAGAGTCTGGCCTCCGGGGTCAGCAGACGGCATAATGGTTTTGTCACTGGACTCCCACATAGTCGACTGCAGTCTGAGTCCCAGAACTGGTGGCTTGAAACTCATGCCGGGTGCATGTGTGTATGTGCCCCAAACCCTAAGGAAACTGGAGGAGGAGGGATTGTGGTATGGCCATCCCCCCTGGGCATGATTTTTTGCTTTCGGTCTCTCTACCAAGTGCACGCACCCGATAGCAAAACTATCTAAGAAAAAAAAAAGGAAAAAAAATCAGAGTGTGGCTTCCCTTGTTGAGCCTCCATCTCCTCCCCTATAAAATGAGGTCCAGGGACCAGCAGTTAGTGTAATTGCTATGTTGCTGAACTCCTGAATGCAGTTCAGGTCCCGGACCTGGTGGCTTAAACTCACGCCGGGCACATGTGTGTGCGTGCCCAAGATCCCGAGAGGAGAATGGAGGGATTGTGGCGTGGCCTTCCCTCCAGAGGGTGATTTCTCGCTTTCTGTCTCTCTTTCTGGTGAGTGCACGCGCCCTGTAGCAAAAACCCCTCGAAAAAAA